TCACGAGAGTGTCTTCGTACGTAACATAATAAATAACCAAATTTTTAGTTTGCCGTTTAAGGGTACTTCTTGATAAACAGCATTTTTCAATGCTCCCCAGAGAAAAAAATCTAATTCGGCTAATCCTCCACGTCCTGTCCATTTACTTGGGTAAAGTTCGTTCAGTGCATCCCTTACTGTCCGAGCATAATGTGCTGGACACCCGTCGTGCTGTAACCACATCATTTGGCGAACGTTTAGTGGTACATATTCTAATAAAGTCCCCAATCTACTTCGTATAAAGTGTGCATATCGTTCGCCAGTAATGTAAGAAAGTTTATTTTACTACCACATTTGACCTTGCATAATCTTCAATGATAGTTCGCTGAAGTCGTTTCATCACCGGCTATCACATCGCGATAAAAAAACATACCATTCTATTAAAAAAAATAGAGGTGACCTTGAAATCTCCTTTATGCCTTAACCCACGCAAAAAATTGTTTGTGTCACAATATTTTTTTATATTATTACAAATAACGGCAATATTCAAAGTGGACATAGTTATTGCCCCACCCTGCATATATGTATTCAACCAACACAAGTAGCGTTTGTAACGTTCATTACTATTTCTTCTGATTAACAAAAGCTGAATGAAAATTAATATAATGCGAACCTGAATTTACACTATGTTACTGTTTTTTCTGATTAACAAAAGCTGAACAAAAATGAATGTAATACGAACCTGAATGTGCACTATATTATACTACTGCTTCTAATTAATATAATACGAACCGTCACAAAAAATCCTGCTCGATGTGCGACAGCCTAATAGAATTGCGACGCGTTTCCGCTTACACTTTTCCAAATCATCCATGACTTCGCAACAGCTCTCAAAAGGGAGGGGAAACGAGCGAAGCTAGGCGGCGGATCGATACAAAAGGGATCGTTAGTAACGAAATCGGGGGCGCAAAAAAAAAATGCAATTGCACGGAAATCCAATAAAGCGTCAACCATTAAATTGAGCACTGCTATCCCGAGCCGGCTCCGGAGACCGGATCAACATAGACTATGGCGCGCTCATTTTTTCGGAAACTCGCGTGTTAGATAAATCGGAGAACCACCCCCCACGGTCTACGCATGTATTTTTCGCGGAAAGTGTTCCCTCCGTTTTATGTGGAGAACATTCCCTTTGTCTACGGTTGAGGTATTGTTCCACGGGGAAGAATACGTTTGGCCGTCGATAAATGGATTCGATAATGATTCAAAAATTCGGAAGAGAAACGGACGTATGTTTTTGTTCGGGCCGCGTTCAAATCTTCTCGTTATTCTTGAACTGAGAATACCTGAAATCTAAAGTAAAGATGGATCTTTCACCTGTATTCACTTACCAAGCTCGATTACTGTCATGTCTTTCTAATGTGTACTATGAATTCGTTGAAATATGGAGTTGATGGGAAGGTAATGTTGGTTTTCGATAATACAGAGTGTTACGCTGCATTTTCGCCAGCGTAACGCGACCGCTCCAAATTGAAACTTGGAGCGTAATTCTGATAGAACCGGACTGCCCTCTGCCCTGAGGAACACTTATTTATTGATTGCGGAATATTTATTTATTGATATATAATGTAGAAAGTCTACAATTTATGAATCAAACAGAATATCGGACAAATGTCCACCACGACCATGTTTACAGATGTCGATCCTTTTTTCAAAATTTTCGATATACATGCAAAATTTTACATTTTTGCATAATTGCGGCTCTTATTACGCGTCGGATGTTGGTTTTCAAGGCTTTAATGGATTGTGGATTATCTGCATAGACTTGATCTTTCTCATAGTCCCATAAGAAATAGTCTAACGGCGTTAAATCACACGATCTAGGCGGCCAATTGACTGCAGAATTACGCGAAATTACCTATTCGATCGGGAAATTTCGTTCCCAATAAATTCATTGATTCCGAAATTTTGCGATATCTTGTTTTCACAGATCCACCCTTTTCGTAGCGGATTTTAATTATTTTTATGCGATTTTCGATTGAAATTGAAGACAATATAATAAATTGTACACCTTGTACTTGACATGTGTCAAAAAACAGAACGACAAAACTGTTACCACATCCAAAATTACTCTTATTAAAAAATAAAGTCCCTGTTGAAAAGCCCTTTAAATATCGTAATTAACGTAAAACGACCACCGTTTATCCGCGAGCCGCCTTCTACAAAGAGGAGAATCTCCGCATCCTACTTGCGAACCCTGACTGGTCACTCTGTGGCGGCCTCCACCCTAAGAAAATCGTGGACGGTATCGGCAGTCGTATCCGATTTCAACCCGCGAAGGCGCGTGTAGTAGCGGAGGCCGAGAGAGGGGCTTTGCGAGAGCCACGCAGTGAACCGTGGTTCGTTACTAAATTCCACGTAACAGGGGTTAACAAAAGTGTCGTAGGTCCTTGAAATGGTTCACTCTTGAGGTAATTTGGAAAAAGTTTTTTCTTAACAAAAATGTTATTCGAGGCATTGTTAACGAGATACTAATGAAAAATCCCGACCAATCAGAGGTCGGTCAGCAGACTCGCGCGCTGATTGGTCGGGGCTTTTCGTTAGTGTCCCGTAAATAAAGCCTCGGATAAAATTTTTGCTAAGGAAAAACTTGTTCCAAATCACCCCACGAGTGATCCATTTCAGGGACCTACAACACTTTTCTTACACCCTATATAATAGTATGTGACGTGTATGGATCTGCGAAGCACACTTTGCAGTATGTATTATATCTATCAATAAGGAATTCATTATTTTCTTTTTTCATAAATGGCAATATAATTTGCATGTAGTACATCTTCCACCGTTTCAAAAAAAAATGGCGGAACATGATGGATAATAAGGACAAATATTCTTCAAATAGCGCAGGGTTTTGATTTTCTTTGAGAATAAATGTTTAATTGGTCAGAAAACAGTGGATTACGTGTGACTAATGTAAGGGTGTCTTGTAACTGGTGAGTGATCACTTGTAGGTAATTCTGTATACCAAAAGAAATGAAAAATCTATGTGGAATAAACGTCACTGCTAGACCGAGGATTTTATGCGTTTATTTATTTAAATACAATAAAAAGCAACTTCCATCAGATGCGACGAGCTTTTTATTTTATACTCAACCCAATACGATACTTAAGAGGTGAAAGAAATTTCTATATTTGCTCTTGACTTTATTTTACTATGAATTACTCTAGAAAATGTCATTCTCATTGTATTTACATAAACCTCGACAATCTAGCCATTGGGTTTCGTTTTCCATTAAATCCATGGAAAACATTTTGTGTCATTTATATTGTCCTTTACCATGTTTCTCTACCGTATTTCAAGTAATTGAAGACAATCAATTTGCATCACTTATTTTGTGTTCGTTCATCCTGCAAATACGATATTTAATTATTGAAAATCAATAAATCATTTATCGATGGTTTGTCGTTTGGGAACAAGAATTTTCTACCATAATTTGCACTATGTCGACAACGAAAATTGATTACATCCATCCACCAGAGGGTGTACACTTTCGAACTAACTTCAGTCTATGAAGTTCAATTAATACTTTTAATAAACGTACTCCATATTGTTTCAGAAGTGTTTGAGTTTCATCGCAGTTTGTTAAATCGCCGCTAGTATCCAGCCCGGAGTTTTAAACTGTACGAAACCAAATGAGGAACTAATTCAAATAAAAGCGCGGATCGATTCTTTTATTTACAGAACTCGTCGGAATTAGATAGATATTTTATTTATTTAGTAATGACCACTTTCGAACGAAAAACGTGGCTATGTTTAAAAAATCAGAAAGGCGTGACGTAGGTACGTTGAAAAATTAAATTTCACGAGACAACGGTACCGAGTAGACTGCAGTATTTTCTCTATAAGCAGGAGAATCCCGTTCCATCCCATCCATGTTTTTCTTAGATTCCTTGCGATAACAGTACTTAAAGGAAATCTCAGCATCTCGTAGGCGTTCAATTTCATCTCTTGCTAATTACAATCTACAGAAAAATTCATTTATTAATGTAGACCTTGTTTAAGCCACAAGACAAATGTTTTGAGATATAACATTTAACTTTTCGAAATATTTATACTATACGTTTATTCGTCTTAGAATGAGGACACCTAAAATGTTATTAGCTGATTTTCAAATACCGTTATCACATTCCTTTTTTATATTTGAAATTTTAACATACTACCAGATATTATTTCTTTTAATATGTATCAATGTAATTATTTTGTAAGCCTTTCAGAATCTCATAGATCGTTCCTAAAATGGTTTCATTCAACTCGTGGCCTTAAAAATCGACCATTAGCTCTGAATAAGAATTTGTGTTACGTATATGGGAATAACGTGACAGCCAAAGGGTTGAACAGTGAGCAAAATAAAAATGAATTTCATTTGCTTTCCCTTTACAATCTAAGTATCATTTGAAAAAAGGTAACAATGGGGACACAAAAGGGTCCATTACAAAGTGAAAAATAGAAAAAGAATCGTGTTGCTACGTATAATGGCTGTTAGCCATTGTTATTTGTTACCATTTTTTAACAATGATACCTACTGCTTTAGATATTCACAATACATATTACACAATACCCACTGTACAAGCTCCCAATCGTTATTCATACATTTATTCGCATTAACACCTTGACAGCCACCTCACCCAAATATGGGTGACCATGTACATTGCAAAGAAGCTGGATTATTTGAATACCGTTATAAAATTTTGCATAAAATTAATGTCGTTGTATAATTTAAAACAGGAACCAGCAGCCTCTATTAACTAAATGCATATATTTTCGACGATTTATGACTTAAAACCGAAATAAACTGTGTCTGGCTACGTACAGCCATTTTCACTGTGCCAGTCAACGTGTTAAATTCTAAATATTCAACAGACTAATTGACAATTGTATTTATTAGTGAAAAGAATTTTCGTCGAGAGAAATAACCAATTTTATACGATGAACGTAGCAACGCCAAAAGAAAGAGCAACTTTACCTCCAGGAATTACGTTTCCGGCTCCCTTCTCTCCGTATCCGAGTTCCGGCGGTATGGTCAACTTCCTCTTTTCGCCCACGCACATATCAACCAATCCTTGGTCCCAACCCTTAATAACTTGGCCGGTTCCCAGCTGGAATGTGAACGGTTGATCTCTGTCCAAACTGTAACAGGCAATAAACGCGAATATTTTAAATAGTGGCCCGATGAAATCTTCAACATGATCGTTCTGAGATCGTTGCACTCCCAGAAGCTTGAATTACATTCACCATTATTTAAAATTGATCAGACTTATATTTTTATGGGCTACACTCAACATAAAAGATTACTTCATAATGTACAATAATTTTTTTTGTATGTACAGCTTCGTTTTCGAAAGAATCAATAAGTATTCGTTGAACATGGTTAATAACACGTTTGCCTATTCTACTTAGAATAAAGGTTAATGGTGGTATAGTATCATTCGTGTCACATCAAACTTACTATTTTATAATAATCAGTTTCTTTAGATGCGTCAATAAGTAATTCACTATTTCCTGATTAGATCAGTATTCGTTTCTATAGAAATGAAGGATCGACATTGTTTGTATTTTAATGATTGTCCAAGATTCTATATCCTCGTGAAACATGAAAAAGATGTTTTCAACTTAAAATATATACCTTCGTTATTAAAAAATATAGTGGATCACTCATTAGTATAACTGATATTATACCTTTCTGAAAAATTAATAATACCACACCGCTGTCAGTACAGTAATGTCTTGATAAGTGTGAATGCCCCGGTTTCGCAGAGTCACACTCGTGGTGAGCACGGACAGTTGTCAGCACCTATTCAATCTGATTTTTGCTCGAAGCTCGAGCCTCGGCAGCTTGCCTTTGTAGTGTTCCGACATAGAAAAGGACACGCGAGTGAAAAACAGAAAGAGAAAGCATCTCTTTCCACTCGATTCGACTACGTGAGCCCGCCTGCGACACTCCCACCGGCCAATGGTTACATTGTAATCGCTGCGGTTCGCATTATCTTACTCGGTCTCGATGTGTCTTGTTGGTTCTCTTCGTCACACAGTACGATTTGAGTGTGTACCATTTCGGCCAATAATAAAATTACCGCGGGAACTCGGCTGGCAAACTCGCGTTCTGATTGGTCGGGATTTTTCGTTAATATCTCAGTAACGAAGCCTCAGATTACATTGTTGTTAAGGAAACTGACTTGTTTCAATTCACCCCCCGAGTGTCCCATTTCTGGGACACATTCTGGACAACATTTTTGTTATACCCTGTATACATCGCTTTTATTAACATTTACATATTTATAATTTATATGGGAGTATGAATAGTTTTACTGCCTATTGTAAAAATCATAATACGCACGAACAATTACTTTCTGGCAATTGGTAAATTTGTACATATGAATTTACTTACACGTTATTTACTTACAAAAATTTTATTTATTGCGAGTAATTAAATAATGAACGTATGTTAATATTCAGCTACGTGTCTCTCAAATTAAGTAAAATACAGACGTTTTATTTTCTTGAAAGTTGGTGTCAAAGAATGCAGTAACTGGTCAGATTAGTTTCGTAAATAAATCGAAACCCTGTATCGGCACACTGTTTTTTAGGCTATGAAATATCACACGGAGTCTTTTAGGACGTAGTAAAATCTTTTACACAAATTCAATGAAATACTTTCAGGTACACAGTTTAGGGCTATGAAATTAGAATGTTCAAGAAGAGGTAAAGAAGTTTCATATTTTCAATTATTTTATGAGACTGTAATAGAAATCGGTATCATGTGAGAGAAATCGTAATTAACGATATGAAATGAATAATAAATAACGGTCTTAGGGATTTATACTGGAGAGCTAAATCTTTAAAAGGAATATGTCGCTTAAATAAATTAGTTAAAAATGATATTTATTTTGGGGAATATGAACATCGTAATTAAACGAAAGCGAGAGAGCGAGCCACGGTATCGGTGCTCTCCGTCGGTGCCGACGCGTACCGAACGGTACCGGAGATGGCCGGAGCGGTCGAACGGGAGCGAGCGAGAGCGGGAGAGCGAGCCGCGGTATCGGTGCTCTTGGTCGGTGTTGATGCGTGCCGAGGAATTTCGGTGGTCTATGGGGGCAGGTGTGCGATCGAGTGAGTACGGTAGAGTGTGCCGCGGTATCGGTGCTCTCCGTCGGTCCAACGCGCTAGTGACGTTGCGTCACACAGTTTATTGACCTAGCCGTGTACGCCGTGTACCATAGCCGTACCTGGCTGTACCATCCGGTGTTTGGGTCGTTCAAGGAAGGTCGTTCAAGCCGGCAAAAACAATTCAACACGAACAAACCTGCGTACGCCCAATACATAACGGCGTTAGCTTCCTCACTTTCTCGTGAGCCGTCGCGGAGGGTGGGCGCGCGTCTCATACTCGTCCTTTCTCTTGTTACTAACCCATTGTTTGTTGCAGGCATTCGACAACCA